TTAAAGGATTATGATTGTTATAGTACCTTGTACCGGAAGACATCTTTGACGGCGGAGCTGAGGAAGAACAAAATGGCCTCGAAAGAAAGAGACACTGGTCGCGATAAGAGCTAATCTCGGGAGATTCAAACTCTTGGCTAAAGCTTGTGTGAAGATCCATTGAGAATCATCAATCAAACAACAAATCCTCTGTTTCTCTTCCCCTGTTTTGGAATCTGAAGATCGCAAAAGTTTAGTCAAACAGTCACGAAACGGAGACTCACATCTTCGGTTCAGAATCGTTAAACGAAGTGTGACATCGCGAGTTCTTGTCTCGATTTCAGACAAGCCGTCTTCGATCTTTAAGAAGGTGAAGAGAGGGTGGCATGAAGCTTTTGGAGCGTTGAAGCTCGTGTGGATCACAGTGATGGAGAAACCTCTTGAGTGAAGGATCTTGGCGAGTTGAAGCATAGGGTTGATGCATCCTTGTATTGGAAGTGGAAACAGAATCACTCGCAGACCATTATTAGTCTTCTCCATTGAAGCTTTCACCTTCTTTCTTCCTGATATTTAAATGAATTGTTACATTTGAGATAAGAGACTAATAATATTTTTTTCGTTACGTGGAGAGTGATGACAAAACTTTACTCTACTCTTATCTATGTGATAATATAGAAAAGAACAAGATTCGTTTTTCCCTATCAGCTATAGAAAAACAAAAACCTAGTGGTCTAATTTTTATCAATTTTGTGATCACATTTGATGTACAATATTTTTCTTGTTCTATGATTTGTTCCCCTATCAAGCTCACAAAGCCCAAAGAGATTCCCCTCTGCATTTCTTAGTGAATGTGTATATTTCAACCACATAACTAGCCAAAGTTGCAAAACAGACCGAAGCGTTTTTTTGTTTAAAAGAAAGTTTACAATACATAAATGGGTACAACTGATTCAAATCTCCAACGCTAGAATGATGAAATTCGATCAACTAGCTCATCTAGAGATCGAGAAGACGAGCCGCCTCGTTTAACCGATCTTCTTACTTCATCTTGCAACACTTTGATTCTCTCTCGAATCTCATCTCCTTCCGATTCAACCATTAGTCTTCTCACGGCTCTCTCGATTTCTCTTCTCTCTATACGACCTTCCAAGTGAATCCCGATCCTCCATACATCGCTGATGAATCTCGCGTTTAGCAACTGGTCCCACACAAATGGCAAGCTGATCATAGGAACCCCTTCGCATATACTCTCTAGCGTCGAGTTCCATCCGTTATGAGTCAAAAAACTTCCCGTGGCTCTATGCGCTAGAATATCTAGCTGCGGAGCCCATTTCACAATCTTTCCCTTTCCCTCGAGACTTTCAATGAACCCTAATGGTAACGATTCAATCCAATCTCTACCGTGGACCGAACCAGGCCGGACAACCCACAAGAAAGCTAGGTCACTGTTTTTTAGTCCACAAGCAATCTCCAAAAACTCAGACTCAGTTAAGGTCACAATGCTCCCTAAGCTCACGTAGAGTACCGATCTCGTTTCGCGCTTATCTAACCATGGAATGCAACTCTGGTCCGGTTCGAACAAGCTGCTAGACGAAGCTGGAACATCATGGATATGAGATGGGCCAATGGGGAATATCGGAAAGTTGAAGACTTTGTGTGACTCAGCAAGTGAATCTTGGTCAAGCTCTTCACAGGACATGACTATGATCCCTGAAGCTGGCTTGGTCGTTTCGAGTATCTTAACCAAGTAAGAATCGAGCTGCTCAACCTGACCGCTTTTTCCCATGATTCGGACAAGATCTTTCTTTCGAAGCGGTGGAAACACCGGAACTAGTTCCTCTGCTTCAGAATCTGAAACAAAACCAAGATCAAGAAATATGGAGGGTAAATTCGTAATTTCACAGAGCAGGATTTGCTCTTTCTTCTTCCTCATGATTCTAGGGTTTTCTGGGTTTGTTTGTTCAATCTTGAAGTCAATTGAACAATAAAGAACAAGGGTCTATTGTATGAATCGAAGCGTACCTGGTAATGGAAGAAACCCTTCACGACGAATCTGAGGAACAAGCAAATGTCCGAGAAAGAAAGTGAATTTATAAGCACAAAGTACTAATCTCGGAATATTGAAACTCTCTGCAACTGATTGAGTGAAAACCCAACCAGAATCATCAATCAAACAGCTAATCTTCATTTCCTCTGTTGTTCCTGAATCCGAATCAGGTTTAATGAGTTTAGCCAAACCCTCTCGAAGTGGTTTCTCACAGTTGTTGTTGAGAAGCGTGAGTTGAAGCAAAACATCCCGAGATTTTGTCTGAGTTTCAGACAATCCGTCTTCGATCTGTGAGAAAGTGAAGAGAGGATGGTCTAAAGATTTAGGAGCGTTGAAACTCGTGTGGATGATTGTGATTGAGAAGCCTCTTGAAAATAAGATCTTTGCTAGTTGAAGCATAGGGTTTATGCATCCTTGTAATGGTAAAGGAAAAAGAATCACTCTTCTCTCGTTTCTCTTCTCCATTCACAAAGTTCTTTGATTATCTTTTAGAAGCAAAAGATATGTTTTTTTCTTCCTCTTAAGATAATGATTTTGGAGCATTGAGACAAGTAATAATAATTGTACATGACTATGACATAAACAAAGACCAGTGATTGAGTTTAGTTTTTTTTTGCATATTTTAGAGGTTTGTTTTTTTGCAACTATTTAACAAGTTACAAAGAGAGTATATGATTAGCTAGAGTCTCTATAGATCGAGAAGACGAGCCTCCATGTTTAACCGATCTAGCAATTTCATCTTTCAAAACATTCATCCTCTCGCGAATCGTTTCTCCTTCGCTTTCCACCATTAGCATCTTCACAGCTTTCTCAATCTCATTTCTATCGATCCGACCTTCTAAGTGGATTCCGACCTTCCAAATATCGCTTACGAATCTTGAATTCAACATTTGGTCCCATCCGCCGGGTAAACAAATCATAGGAACCCCTTCGCATATACTCTCTAGCGTCGAGTTCCAACCATTGTGTGTTAAAAACCCTCCAATTGCTCGATGCGCAAGAACATCCTGTTGCGGTGCCCATTTCACGATCTTTCCTTTCTCTCCGAGGCTATTCACGAGCTCTTCCGTGAGCAGTTCGATCCACTCTGCGCCACGGACCAAACCCGGTCGGACCACCCACAAGAAAGGCTGTTTGCTATTGTTTAAACCGTAAGCAATCTCCAAGAACTCTGATTCCGATATGTTCACAACGCTTCCTAGACTCACGTAGATAACGGACTTATCTTCTTGATTATCTAACCAAGGAACGCAAGTCTCGTCTTGCGCGAATAAACTGCTAGACGAAGCAGAGAAGTAACCGTGGAACGGACCAACCGCAAAGATCGGTACTTTGAAAATTTCGTTAGCGATACTCAACGAATCTTTCTCTAGCTCTTCACAAGACATGAATATGAGCCCTGAAGATCTCATTGTCGTTTCGACTGTAACACGCAAGAACGGACCAAGTTCCTCTTCGTCTTCTCCAACAACCCTTAAAAGATCTCTCTTTTGAAGCGGTGGGAACTCAAGAACAGAGTCCTCTGCTTCTGAATCTGATACACAAATTGTTCAAAACTTAAAACTTTGATACCAAAAATGAAAAAAAAAAGAAACGATTCTTGACATTACCTGAAACTGGAAGATAACCTTTGGTTCGAAGAAGAGGAATAATCGGATAAGCATTCAAGAAAGTTGCTTTGAAGGTACATAGAACCATCCTTGGAAGATTCAAACTCTCTGAAACAGACTGTGTGAATAACCATCCACAATCATCGATCAAACAAGTAATCCTCTCTTGAGATTGCAACAACAGTTTTTGCAAACAGTCAAGAAACGGAGACTCAGCGTTACGGTTGATTTGAGCAAGAAGAGACATAACATTAGAAGTAGGATCTTCGTTGATCTCTGTTTCAGACAAACCGTCTTCGATCTGTAAGAAGTTGAAGAGAGGATGGCTTGAAGCTTTTGGCGCGTTGAAGCGCGTGTGGATCACAGTGATGGAGAAACCTTTAGAATGAAGGATCTTGGCGAGTTGAAGCATAGGGCTGATGCAGCCTTGTAATGGTAATGGAAACAGAACCACTCGCAGACCATCATTGTTACTCTTCTTCTCCATTGAAATTGAAGAAAGCTCTCTATTTTTAAGACCAAATCGAACTTTATCCAAGAGTTGTTTATTCTTCAGATATGGAGAATCTGTAATGCAGACAAACCCTTTATGGTTATGTGTGTTTGGTTTCGGACCCATTCAAGTTTCCACCGGATTTGTTGACATTTTGGGTTATAATATTTATGTGTGGTCACTATCAGAGATATTGAGATTTGAATATTTTATCTTAAATATTTGGTGTTTACCACCGGATTTTTATTAATCATCCAGTGATTGCATACCAAATTTGGGACAAAAGGAAAAAAATTTATGTGTTGACTAATGACTATGACGTAGATCAAAGTTTTAAATCTAGCAATGTAAGAAAACCAATTTCCCATCTTTATCTTTGAAGTTCTAAATAGTTTTTTTTTTTTTTTTAAGTTTGTTTCGAAGAATATTTTGGCAAAAGATTTAAAGTAAATAATAATTTTGTAGATATCTTGACTTTGAAACAAACCAATGTTAGAATTAGAATGATCAAATTTGAATATGTCACTAATACAAAATTTTCAAGAAAGCAAAAGCCCAATCCAAAAGGGAGTAACCCCAAATCCATTATTGTCGGATGCATATTTTTCTATAAGATTTCAAGCCCACA